AAATTAGCTGAAAATGTATAAACAAAAAAAAAAAAAAAAAACAGCTGAAAAGTAGCAAAAACAGCTAAAAGAAGCTTAAGTTACCAGAAGAAAGTGGAGAGAGCATATTTTTGCTGAATTAGGCTGAGAAAAGTTGAAATTATTTTTAAAAAGCTTGAATTAACTGAAAAAGTTAAAATTAGCATAAAACAGCTAAATAGTAGCTGAAATAGCAGAAAAAGCTGAGACTTGAACAAATAAGCTGAATTGAGCATAATAAGCTAAAAATAGCAAAAAGAAGCACAAAAATCATATAGTTATCTGAAAAAAAAATCTAAAACGATCACAAAACAGCTGAAAAAAACAGCTGAAAGTAGCTGAAAAGGTTTAAATTTGCACAAGGAAGCTGAAAGAAGCTGAACCAGAACAAAATGTGAAAGGAGCAGAAAAAAGGTTGTGAACAGATCTAAAGATTTTGAAGGATGTAAAATGAGCTCATTTCATTTTCTATGAGAAAAAAGTGGCAGAAAAGGCTAAACATTTCAAAAAGCTAAAGTTGCACCAATACCAAAAGTCATAGCAGGATTGTCCTGAAAGAGCTGAACGTTTTGATGTGATTTGTTGAAATAGCACAAAAATTATGAAACGAGAAAGATCCTGAAAAACATATGGAAGAAAAAAGGATCACAGTAATATGAATGCTTCATGAGCATTCACACTATTACATGCCTTGCATTCCTTGAAGGGAAACATATTGCCCGCTACAAAGAGTGCATGCAGACACGAGATATTTCCAAATCCCCCTCTCCGCTCCACAACGAGGAACAAAAAGTGGATTGCAAAGTCTCCTTCTATCTGGAGCCACAAATCTGTCCGGCTGTTTTAATTTGCAGTTAAATCTCAGAGACAACTCAGAGTTAAAAAAAAAAGAAAATAATAATCTGCAGTTTCCTTACTGTCCCACTGCTACCCATGGATAGGTGACTGAGTTGCTGCGTCAGAGGCCCCATCATGGAGGTTGGCTGGATGGACATGGTGTGTTCCATCCCTGACGTGAGGACCGCTCCCTGTGGAAAAACACACAACGCTATCAGCATTTACCGTCAAGGACAAAGACACAGTTGGCGAGTCGAACAGAACGAGGCAGCTGCTTGAAGATGAACGATACTCACTGTGGGCGGCATTATGTACGACTGATGATGGATCCAGGATGGATTGTGTAGCTGGCAAAACAAGGAACGCCCGACAGTCAATATAATGGCATGCTCACATCACCACACTTCTAGAGAATTTGTGAATTTTGGGAAAAATGCATCAAACTCATAAACGTGTACATTTTTAAATAATGTTTAACAGTTGTTAACACTTGGAGCCATAACTCAGAGGTAGAAGTGTCTTGTCACATCGATCAAACACCCTCCATTCTCAGTGTGATACCTGATAGGTGGACATGGGCGAAGGCATATATGGAGACAGGGAAGCTGGTCCCATCATTCGATTTGGGGTGATGCTGTATGGAGAGAAGAATCTGCAGACAGAGACACAGTTAGAGAGCACACTGTAAACCCAGTTCCCCCCAGGCTGGACAAGAAACGGGTCAGAGATGGTGGTACTGACCCGTTCTGTAAGGCTGTGGTGGGGTCATAGGTGAGAGTGAGGCCTGCCTGGAACAGAACACAAAGAAGTGTGTCAACATCAGAAGGAATATCTCAGTGAGTGTCAGGGAAGAAAACAAGTCAATAAATAAAAATATCTCACAGATTCCCCGTCTCTTGTCCAGGGTCGACCATTCTGCAGATGTTTCCCTTGGCTCTGACGCTTCTTCTGACCTCCATCAGCAAATTTACACAGCAGGGGTTCGGATGGTGCTGAATCCAAAAATATAAAAAGGTTAAATTATGTCTAATGAATGTAAGAAAATGTTTTTTAGCACTTTAAGCTACTGTTTTGCTTTCAACTAGTGGTTTGCTAGTTTTAGCTTTTAGTAGCTACTGTTCTGTTAGTTTTAGCATTTACATACTAATTTGCTAGTTTCAGCTATGAGATATCCATCCATCCATCCATTTTCTTTACCCGCTTATTCCATTTTGGGTCACGGGGGTCGCTGGTGCCCATGTCCAGCAATCACTGTGCGAGGGGCGGGGTACACCCTGGACGGGTCGCAAGTCCATCACAGGGCCACATAGAGACAAACGAGACAAACAACCATTCACTCTCTCACTCACACCTAGGGACAATTTAGAGTTACCAGTCAGCCTAACATGCATGTTTTTGGACTGTGGGAGGAAACCGGAGTACCCGGAGAAAACCCACGCATGCACGGAGAGAACATGCAAACTCCACCCAGAAAGGCCCCTGGACCGGGGTTTGAACCAGGGACCTGCTCGCTGAGAGGCAGCAGCTCTACCAGTTGCGCCACCGTGCTGCCCGCTATGAGATATCTTCTTTCAAATTTTGGTTTTAATCTACTGTTTTGTTAATTTAAGCTCTTAATGTTTGTTTTGCTATTTTAGCTACAATTTTGCTGGTTTGCTACTGTTTTGATAGTTTTGGGTTTTAGCAGGTATTGTTCCGTGAGTTTTAGCTTTCAGCAGCCATTTAGCTATTTTTATATTTTATCTACCTTTTTGCTAATTTTGTCTTCTTGCTACAGTTTGCCAATTTCAGCTCTTCGTTTCTGTTCTGCTAATTTTAGCCTTGAGCTACAAATCAGTTGGTTGGAAATTTTAGCCACTATTCTACAAATTTGAGCTTTTAGCCACTGTTCTGCTGGATTTAGCTTTTTTCAAATAAAAATGCATCTAAATGTTTAAAATCCCAAAATACATGCTTTGTGCTTTTTAAAAACTACTTAGTCAAATTAGTTTCATTTCTAGCTTTTAGCTACTGTTCTGCCGTTTTTAGCTACTGCTCTGTTGGCTTTAACGTTTAGCTACAGTTTTTAGGTTTTAGCTTTTGTTCTGCCTTTTTGGGTTTTGCACAGCTAATTTTAGTTTTTTGTTTTGGCCGTTTCAGCTTTATGAATTCAGTTCTAGTGTTTCAACAAATTTCAGCAATGCTATCCAGCACTCAGCAGTCCCACCGCTTTTTCACAGAAAACACTAATAGAAGAAACGGCAGATCAATAATAAGAAGGTCTTACCTGGAACTCCAGCAGGAGTCTTAATATATTTTCCATTGAAATGTTGAATAATAGCCTCACATTTCTCTGTTGACTCCATCCTGTGGTAGAAAGTAACGTTTGTTGTTTAATTAAAACTGTTGAAGGTGACAAACCATTACTAGGTGTTTTACCCATAGCAGCCGCCAGAGGGCGCACTTACACACATTATTATTGAAGTTTATTCACACTCCAGTCATTTTAATCAAATGCAGTTAGCAGCTAAAATGAGTGATGAAGAGCAGCTCCCACCTGGCGAAGCCAACTCCTCGGCTGGTCCCATTGGCATCTCGGAGGATGCGAGTGGAAATAGCCGGACTGAAGGGCTTCAGCATATTCTCCAGCTCCTGCTCGTCCATGGACAGAGGCAGGTTGGAGATGTACAAGTTGGTGGGGTCCTGTTCCTGTTGCTGCCGAACCACACAGCCAAAAGAGGAAATATTAGTGGAGTTCATCATTATAAAAATGGTTACATTCCATAAAAAAGTCTGTTTGAGGAGTTTTACATAGTTTTCACAGAACAACGGCGTGAAATGTCTGAAATGTAATAAAGGGAAAACGGTTAAAAGGGAGTTAAAAAAGTTTGAGTAATAAATAGTAAAATAAGTGTTTTTATTGTCCCCTGCCAAACGGCGGACAATAATGTTTTTTCCCCATGCTTGTGTTTGTGAGTGTGTGTTTGTGTCTGCGTCTGCTAGCAAAATATCTCGTGTACCACTGGATAGATTTTAATGAAACTTTCAGAAAATAAATATCATATCTACAACTGACTAACTTTTAGGAGCCAGTCCAATCCAAGATGGCCACGCCAGACATGTGACTTTAGAAAGCACAAAAATGGCTCAAATTTGGCCAGTCTTTCAGATATTGTGCTAACATTTTGAGTAATTAACAACATATACTCCAAGGCTACTCATTAGGCAATATCTCTGCTTAAAACCTTACCTACTTGAATCAACTCTATCTGTTAGCGGAATATTTCATGAATTGCAAGATGCATTTTAATGAAACTTTCAAGAAATATTCACTGGATGTACATCTACAACTGATTAAGTGTTGGCATCAGTCTAATTTAATATGGCCACTAAATCCAACAGACATTAGCCCACAAAGTATTGGCTGTAATTCAGCCAGTTTCACGATGACGTCAAATGTGATGTGGTGGTAGCTGAGAGGCATTCACAACTCTTACTGTGAGGAGCTTGACGTCTCACAACATTGTACGAGCTTGTGTAAAACAGCTACAACGCCAACATGTTAGGAGGTGGACGATATGTATTACTTCAAGGAACGTGTGTTGGAAAATGCTTTTTTAGGATTATCATCATGTGTCATAATTACCCCACAAAGCAAATATTATCATTTGGTATTCTTGTATTATAGTTTTTATTTTTAATGAGCCAGTCCTCATCTTGAATGCAAACTCAAGTTCCATAAATCAAAAGCAAAGGATGAAGAAAAACAGAAAGTCAGTCATAAAGGGCCCGGTTTTGTTTTCCTCATGCACAGATCCTTTCATCGCTTTATTCTCTATCCTAACTAATTTAATTTGACCTACAGTATCTCGTACGATAACCAATCTGTATCCCCTCGAGCCGTGATGCATATTTATCATCCACGATGTGATTAAGAATCTCTAAATGCAGCGCGAGTAAATTTCCATGCCATGAATAATGCATGTGGAACGACTACGACCTGTGATGAAGGTGATTCCTCCTCCACCTTCCTTCTCTTTCACAGTATAGTGCAAACTATATAAGAGCGAGCGGAGGAAACCTGCTGCACATTTCAGCGGCGACTGACTCAGAGTGAGTCAGGGACAACACCGACGCTGACACACGTCTTCTGGTAAACTCCAGCAGCACGGCCGAGTGAAATTCAGCTATTTTGCGATTGAGAGGCAGAATGAATGTCGATGATCCAGCTTAACGCGAGATCAGGTTTCCCGAGGTGTCGGTGGTGAGAGTGACTGTGAGTGCTATAATCCAGCTGAGGCAGGACTGATGAAGTGCATGTGAGGTTGTCAAGCGCATGTGTGCGTGTTGACAGGGCGGGTGATTGGGCACCGTGCCCTGCTGACTGGGGAGCTGCTCAGACACTGTGCCACTGGGGAGAACAGACAGCTTCTTTATACATGAGCTCAGAGAGCAGCCCCTCCCAGAGGACACACTCCCCAAACATTGTCACCACTCTGAGCACACATGTAGCCGTGCGCATCTGCGAGCTCCTGTTTGTGCAAACACATGCTCTTCAGTGCATTAATGCCCATGAAGACACTGATGTAGGACCACACCCGGGCAACGAACGCACCACGCAGTAAACACGTGTACACAAAACAACGGCTCGTTCTCTGCCTCCTGATTACAGGTGCAGCTTTTTAGCTTGTCACAAAACTCCTCCATCCTTTTTGTTCTCGACTTTCATTATCACTTTTTTCAGTTCTGCTTTCTTATTTATGTTTGATTATAGGAATATAGGCAAATCCTACAGATAAATGTCACGTATTCTTTGCTCACCGCCAAAATGCAGACGTGCATGCTGAGTGAGGTTCTTACCTTGGCCATCTGAGCTTGCACTCCGCCAGCCTTCAGTGCTGTGACTGCTTTCTGAGCTGAGGCTGGACTGTCAAAGTCCACAAAGCCGTAGCCTGCTGGCACCAAACCATTCATCAATATACATGTTACAACAAGGAGACAAACACGAGGACCAACATATACACACAGAGTACACTCATTCAGCAGTTGGTGTTCTGGCTGAAGACACAGATCCACACATCTGAGCTGTGTTTCCCACAGAGTGATGGAGACTGTGGGGAAACACAGCAGGTATATTAATATATACCAGGGCTAATCAACTGGTGGCCCGGGGGCCAAATTAAGTCCATGTTAGGACTCAGTTAGGCCCACCAGTGGGTTCATTTTTTAAATAAAACTAGATTTTAAATCATAAAACAAATGTACTTAATGACAATAACTGCTGGATGTCCAGCCCCTGAGCTCTTGGCTTCCAGTAACTGTGGCCCCCTGATATATACCAAAGCTTAACCCACAATACACACCTGTCAGCTGAGAGCTCTACAGAGCATAATCATAAAACAGCTAATTTTTTTTTACACATTTTAGCTATATATATATATATATATATACTTGTGATGCCAATTCAACACATTCAATATAAATGTTGGCAACTTTGAAAAAAAAAATGTATATATATATATATTTTTTTTTTTTTACGTTATTCAAGAATTACAGCAATAAATACAAAACATTTAGGGTGTCTTTTAAAATTTAAGCCTCCCAAACCCATATTTGATTCATAGTGGAACACAGGAAATATAATTTTTTATTCTAAGTGCATAATTTTACATAGAAAAAAGGGTCGTTTTGAATGCTATCACTGCAATATATCTCAAAATAGTTGAGGCAGGGCAACAAAAGGCGGTTAAGGTAAGTGGTTTGAATAAAAGCAGCTGAAGGAGCTGCTTGACACAAACTGGTAATAGATCAGTAAGAGGACTGGGAATAAAAAGAGCATTTTAGATCTCAGAAGTAAAGCTGGGCAGAGGGTCACCACTCTGCAAAAACTGTATCTAAAAATACCGAAACAATTTTTAAATACTGTTCCTCACTGCTAAATTGGGAAGACATTGAATATCTCGCCATCTTTAGTTCATAACATCTAAAGAATTTAAGAATCTGGAGAAATCTCTGAGCTCAAAGGACACGGCAGAGAGTCAGTATTGGATGCCCTTATTGTTTAGGCCCTCAGCACTGTATTAAAACAACTGATTTTGTAATGGGCATCACTTAGGAACACGTCCACAAATGTAAGCACAGTTTTCCATTTACAAATGCAGGTTAAAGCTCTATCACACAAACAAGAAGCCATATGTGAACGCCATCCAGAAACACCGCCATCTTCTCTGGGCCAAAGTTCATTCAAAATAATCTGAGGCAAAGAAGAAAACTGTTCTGTGCTCAGACAAACCAATATTTGACATTCCTTTTAGAAACCACAAACACCACATCCTCCATACTAAACAGGAGAGGGACCAACTGACATGTTGTCAGTCCACTGTTCAAAAACCTGCCTTGCTGATGGTATGGAGGTACATTAGGACCCACGATATGGGCAGCTAACATAACTGAAAAGGTAAATGGACTCTTATATAGCGCCTTAAAGCACTTTACAACACAATCTGTGCCTCATTTATCCATTCATACAGCACTCTACTATATACACAGAATAATCTGTGCTTTATCGCATTCATACACCAATGGGACACACATCAGAGTTTCTTGCCCAGGGACACTTCGGCATGTGACTGCTGGTGGAATTGAACCCCAGACTCTTGCAATGGAGGACGACTGCTCTAACCACTCAGTCACAGCTGCCCAAAAAGGCACTATTAATGCAGAAAAGTATTTTAGAACAACATATGCGCTCATCCAGACAACATCTTTTTCAGGGAGGGCCTTGATTATTTCAGTAAGATAATGATAAACCACAATCTGCTTCTAACAGCAAGGCTTTGTAAGAGTCCAGGTGCTGAAGTGGCCTGTCTGATTGACAACATTTGACCCATCATGGAATGAAAAACCAGACAAGAAGACCCAGGACTGTTGAACAGCTAGAACCTACATCGGACAACATTCTCTTCCAGAAACTCCAGCAGTTGTTTTCCTCCAAGTGTTTGCAGACGAGACAGTCATTAAAAGAGTGGATGCTTCAAAGTGATAAACATGGCTCTGTCACAATTGTTGTTAGATGTGTAGCTGCCTTCTAATTGGAAAAAATACCCTATTTTTCTTAAGAAATGGTACAAACTCTTCCTTTAAACACGTAGTATGTTTACTATACTCCACTGTGAATTCAAATGGGCTTTTGAGAATTACGAATCATTGCATTCTGTTTTTATTGACATTTTACACAGCGTTCCAACTTTTTTCAGAATCGGGGATGTACCGTCATCTACCGTCTTGTGGTTTTACACCTCACCTTTGCATTTATTGGTAGTTTTGTCCAAGATGGCCTTGGTTGACACAATTTTCCCATACCTGCAAAACAGTGACATTTCATGCTATGCACTACAGATGGCAAATATATTTTACATTCATTCATTTACAGGTTTACATTGCAACACTGCTGATAGAAGGTGGTTCCTTTCTAAACTTAATATGCATGAGGACGGAATTAAATTCCCCTGATGCATTCTGTGCAGTGACACTGAATGCAATTATAAAAGCTGGTAATAAATTATGTGCATATGGAAATCTTTGGAAGGTGGGGGTAAATGAAATGAAATGAAATGAGGGGAATGTCCAGTGGGATTCTCCATGCTTGAAAAAAAATATAGATTGTCCCTTTTTTATTATTATTCCAGCTAATGATCAGTATTAGTCAAGTGGGAGATCCAACTATGTGACAAGTTGGTGAAAATGAACATCTGTTGAATTTCCAGATCACAATACCCCTCCTATAATATCAGTGAACATGAAGACACTACTGGAGCACTGGACGGACAGTGGCTGACTTTTTGCAAATGCGTTGTGTGCAGAGGTGTCTATCAGTTCCCATCTCTCCAGGCATGTGCATGCAGTGTAATCTGATACGCCTCTCCTTGGCTGTGCTGTCCGATGCTGGCTCCCAGCCACACTATGCTTCAACTAACCAGCTTCTCTGTGTGCAGCCGTCTACGCTCGACTGGGTCTTAGTGCCCCATAGTGACTTCCATCCAGGGACAATGCACCACTGCCTCATCTCATCCAGGGAGAAGTCACTTGCAGAATGTGTTTTGTTAACAAAGAATCTATATATCTCAAAACTAGATTATTTCAAACTGAAAATTAATTTAAATCTGCAGTTTGATCATATGTTCAAAAATTATTTCTGATGTCTTTACACTCATTTAAAGCCCCATTTTGTTTAGCTTGTTTCTTGGATTGTTGTTTAGTTTTTTACTCTTCTGAAAGGGATAAATTCACTTTTTTTAAAAGTGGGGCATTGTGGAAAGATAATGAACAATTAATATCTTACCTGTTGCAGATAGTTTATTATTATTATTATTGAGTAGCCCTACTTTAGAGAAATAGAGTTTGATTCTGATTAGATTGATGAGCTAATGGTCAGTTCATTTCTGCAATCTTTAAACAACTCCAAACTATGAATTTTCATTTCAGATCGTTCAGACAGTTTTGTAAACCTTTACAGACAATTGTTTATATGCTCTTTGCATAAAATTCCAGAATTTATTTACAAGTGTTAGATGTAGCATCTAGACTGGTGCAGCCTGAGACATTTTCAGCTAGAAAATCAAAATGTTTCTTATCATAACTGTGTAATGCAAAATAGAAGGTTGTGTAAAGGTCTACCAAATAGCATTCACACTATTAATGTTTTGAGATTAGTTATTTTAGGATGGTTGCCACTCATTTTGGTCTTGGGAGTTGCCATTAACTTGCCAATCCCTTCACCAATCTTTATTTCTTCTATCTGATGTTGTTTAAAAAGATGTCTACAACAAATATAGTATTGTTCCTAATTTTTCCACAGAACCCCACGCAAAATGATAAAACCAATCCCTTTAAAAGCAGATAAATACACCTAAATCTAAGACAACTCACTGTTGTAGGCAAAGAAAATCTGTCAGATCTCAATATTTATAACCCCCCTCCAGTGTTGTTTAACTGGAGCTCTGTTGTATTATAGATTAGTCTTTCGATGCAACATTATTCTTTCATGGTTCACTCCGATGCTACAGTGATGCCAAGTGATCCGCGTCCTAAAACTGCACTGCATTCCAAAGAGTCCAAAACTCCACATTAAAGCTGTCTTTAAGCTGCGAGCACTACTTGCTGCTTACACGGCGGAGTTGCAAAATCATGCTTGGAGGTCTTCATGATGCAGGGTAAAAGGAGAGGCAGGAGACTCAGCCATGTGTGAGACTTATTGTGTTCAACCCAGTGTCCTTTCATTGCTAACAGCTGGCAGCAAAGCACCCAAAGAGAAAAACTTCAAGGGTTGAGGAAGGAGAATCAATCCGCATCTCAATCTCTGCACAGCGTAAATCTCAGCACACTACAACTTCCACTGGGAGCACTAGGGGTGATGTCGGGGTTGGGTTTCATACATTTAATGTGCACATTTTAAGTTGAGAATGTCAGATTCCCTTCACTGGCTGTCGCCACGTCATGTTCCATCTTCACACTGTGCAAGCTTTTTCCTTGTAATTGAAAACGAAGCCCGCCTTCAGTCTGGTTCAAGTGAGAATTACACTGACTTTAATGTGCTGTGCTAAAAGGCAAATTTCATGCAGTGATTTTATCTGCTCTGTAAAAGCAGTAATATGAGAACTACCCCCACACTGCACCACCTGACACACAAACCCTGGACTCTGTTCACTCCTCCTCCCCCTCCGATTCTCTACATCCTCAACCAGCCACCCCCACGCCATTGCCCTTGTTTGTCTTTCCCTTTCCCTTGAGTTCGACGTTTCCTGTAGGGTTGGGCAGCCTCATGTGAGCCATATCTTCCAGACAGCTGTAAAATAACAGGCCTCGCCCACTCGCCCTCCCTCATTCGATCTCTCCAATTTCCCTCCTTTTCTCTCGCTTTTTTCCTCCTCTGTTCTTCTGGTTCTCATCACCGGGCTCCAGAATTCAATTAGGTAAAAGCGGATCATTTGTCTCGGCTTTCTGTGTTTTGATGTCTTCCACCCAAGGCCTAACATGTCAGGCTGGACGGAGGAGCTGTTTTGATGTCTGACTTTTCTGAAGCCTCACTGTCACGTCGACGAGCAACAACGTGGTGTTTAACATGCAGGTTTTGTCTTTGTCCTTCAGTCTCTGGTGTCTTATTTTTTATTCATTTTTATTTTTTGGTCAAACAGCATTACAAAAAGAAGAAAAACAGATTAACAATATTTGGTGTAAACGAAATATTTAACCTCCTAGGACCTGGCATCCATATATGCAAGAGTTTGGGTCTTAGGAGGTTAAAGGGGAATAAAAGAAGTTTTAAAAAATAATGTATAAAAACGGGGCATTTTTTTCCCCTATTACGGAAACACACTATAAGTTGGGCTTCAGCATACATGTGCATTTCAAATGTACGGAAGCCAGCCATCAACATTTACCCATGTTAACACGCAAACCATTCAGCCAGTCGACTTTCAGCCATCACTTACAGCAATCTACTCTGCACCTCTTACAGGGTTCCTGCTGGCAGTGGACAACCACAGAGATTTACTAGGTGTGTGAGAAGGCAGCAAGGTTTGTGTGTACTGGTAACTTACGGCTGACAGAGTTTGACCAGATCCTGGTCTGTGGTTCCTGGAGGAAGGCCGCGGATGTAAAGGTTGGTTTTGCTGAGCTGCTCTCGTCCTCCACTGCTGCTACTGCTACTGCTGCTGCTGCTGCTGCCATTGCTGAAGGTTGCTGTGTTGCTGTTCAGGCTTGGAGAAGCCATCTGATGGTTGGACGGCAGCACATATGTCTGCTGCGGAAAAAAAAAGCATAATCAGATTTGAAATGGTATACAGAGCAGATTCATCTTTTAAAAACATAAAAACGGACATGAAAAAGCAATTCTGCCAGATGGGACCATTCATTTGGGGTTTGGGTATTTTTAGAAATTTATTGCTCAGTCTGACCTGGTTAGGTGACAAAATAGGTAAACTGAGATGGACAATAAAAAAGATAGGTATGGGAAAAACATTTTTATGAGAAAATAACAGATGAAAGCTCATAAAAACATACACAAACGTAACAAATAGCCAACACTGTAGCCATCTGCAAGTAATTTGGTTTTCCCAGCATGCACCATTTTGGCAGGACATAAGAAATTGTTGTTCTGAAAGTCAATGTTCATCATTCTTCACCAAACTAAAAGGAGGCTGAGGTTGTCGATAAGGAGTATGACCCTGCTCTAAAGTGACAGAAACATTTGAGAATGGCACTGTAAAAATATTATCTCTAAGGAAATAAAAACAATGCTGAACAAAAAAAAAATTAAATTAGAGATTATGTATTTGTTGTTGTTGTATTTTAATATTGGCTGAGCTACTAATTTTCTGTCCAGTTCTTGTCTCTGATCACAACAAAGTGCCAGAACTTAAAATTACCTTTATCAGATAAACAATATCTGAAACAGGAAATAAATTCAACAAAGACCTGCTGGTCTGAATGACTACCGGACAGTAGCCCTCACCTTGATAGTCGCTAAATACTTCAAAAGACTGGCCATGGCCCTCATCAAAGATACCATCGACATCATTGAGGACCCACACCAATATGATTACCGCGAGAATCGATCAACAGAGGACTCCATCTCCTCTGTGGTCCACACTGCTCTCACCCACCTGGAGCAGAAGGACTCCTACGTCCGTATGCTCTTTGTGGACTTCACATTTGCCTTCAACACCATGATTCCCTGCAAACCCTGATGCACAAACTACCCACAGTAGGACTAAGCCCCTCCATTTGCAACTGGGTCCTGGACTTGTTAACTAAACAGACCACAGTCTGTGAGGATCCACAACTTATCCTGCTCCACCATAACCCTCAGCACTGGTTCCCCTCAGGACTGTGTGTTGAGCCCCCTCCTGTTTACTCTGCTCACATAAGACTGTGCACCTACCCATCCAGACTGTCATATTGTAAAGTTTGCAAACAGTATAGCAGTGGTTGATGCATCACAAATAATGATAAGTCCAGCTACAGGCAGGAGGTGGAACACCTGGAGAGCTGGAGCAGGAAGAACAACTTTCACATCAATGTGAAGACGAAGAAGGAGATAGTTGTGGATTTCAGACAGAACAAACACACCTACCCCCACCCCCAAATATAGGAGGATCAGTGATTTAAGTGGTCTCCAGCCACAAGTACTTGGGTGTGCACCTGAACAACAACCTCAGCTGGGACAACAACACCACCAGCCTGATCAAGAAAGTTCATCAGAGACTCTACTTCCTCAGGCGGCTGAGGCGAGCTGGTCTGGGAAGCTCAGTCCTCACCTCCTTCTACATGTGTGCAAAGCATCCTGTGCTCCAGCATCAACGTGTGGCATGGAGGCTGCACAGCTGCAGAAAGAAAAGCTTTGCAGAGAGTGGTGAAGGCTGCACAGAAGTCTGTTGGGAGTCAGCCTCCCCACCATCACAGACATCTACACCTCCAGATGCAGGAAGAGAGCCACCTGCATCATGAAGGACCCCACTCACCCAGCACACACACTTTTTGCCCCACTCCCCATCAGGCAGGAAGTTGCGGAGCATTAAGTGCAGAACCAATAGACTGAGGAACAGCTTCTACCCTGAACCTGTTAGACTCATGAATCCCTAATCAGGATTATCACTGTGAATAAGAAAAAAAAATCACTGTAATGCCACTTGATTGTTGATATGTGCTGCTGATTATCCATGCTGCTGATCTCATGCTGCTGGATTCATTCATTCATACGCATCTACCCACAAAGACTCATGTTCGTGCTGCTGTTGTTTGATAGATTGTTTTGTACTATTAGTGACTTGCGTTTATCTTAGATCTTTTAGCGTACCGTTGGGTATTCGTTTAGCGTATATCTTAGTTTATATCTTAGTTCCTTATTTACTGTTTCTTTTTACACTTTATATTTTTGCTATTGTTGGATGTAACTGGGACCTTGAATAAGCAATTTCGTTCTACCTCATGTACCATATGTGATGCGAATGACAATAAAGAACCTTGACTTGACCTGAACCAGGTCCAGAAAAATGCATCATCTTTCAGTTGATTGTCTACTGTACTAAGATTTCTGCTAATAACTCTTTGGAGATTATTTTGTTGGTGATAAGATGTGATTTTCTACTTGTCAAACTGTTATTCTTACTATTTTTGTATAAATTCAACTACAGAAATATGAACAAAAAAAATGTTTTTTGCCAGGCTGTCAACAACACTGTGGTTCATTCACTGAGGTTTTGGAGCTTTTATATGCCTGAAAGATTCGAAGATAAAAGCCACAGCAAATAAATAAACACATAGTCTGGAACTAGACTGAAAATAGTCTGCCAAAGGACTGAAAACAAGTTTTTTTTAAAAGCAGCCAAAATCCAAAGAAAAACTATTAAATACTTTCAAAAAGCCTGAAAAACTGACTACAACCACTTTAAAAGATAAAAAAATGTCTCACTGAAGACTTGGTCATTGTAGAGAAGATAAAATGGGTTGAGACACCAGTGAATCAAGATTTTTTTGTACCCCATAACCTTATGTTTTCCAAATTAAAATGGAATCAGTCTTCAGAATTTGGAAGTCTGTCTTTTCCTCATCAAAATAACAGTGACAGTGACTCACAGAGCCCTTTCATCTTAGTGGCTTCTCTAATATCCATCTCTTCTTTAGCATCAACATTATTAGTTTTTTCTTCACAATCACAGCCTCCCTTTTGCCTTCACTGTAGGCTGCCTGCAGACTATAGGAGGGATGCACCCAAAGAGCCTCAGACAGGATAAGAGGAGTCCAAGTCCGGAGCTGAGCCTGGCTGCTGAGGCCTGTCTAATTGGGACTTGAGCTTGTTAGCAGGACGTGCTAATCCCTCTCATGTGCACCCTAGTCAGAAGGTAGTGTCTCATTAAAAACGCTCTGCTAAACTTCATCTGAGAAAAGGATGGGAGGGACTCAATGGTGCTTCTACCCACCCGCCACACCAGTACCTGCTCAAGTGCACTTCAGAAGGAAGATTATCATTAATTTCTTAGGTGCACATCACTGAGAATTGCATTTCATTTTATGACCCGAGTACTTCATGTCCTCTCAGTTAATAAGTGCCAAAAAGGAGAACTCCTAATATGCCACAGATTTCCCTATAACTTTTCAGTTTGCTAATCTGTTTACACTTCTTCGTACCTTTATAGTATCATAATCTCTTGATGTGCCTCTGCTTGAGATGGGATCAGTTCCACTCATACACAAGACTCAAAAACATAGGCTCTTTATTTTCTATAGATTTCATTATATAACGGCTAATTACCCTAAAGCCCACTGCAGCGAATGAACAATTGCTGCTTCGTCGTAAAAAGGTAGAAATGTACATTATAGAGTCCTTACAATGCTGCTACTGTCAGGCTTAGCAATTACTGCAGCTAAAAGACATCTTTGTGCCTTTTTTCATTGTTGTGCTTGAAGTAGAACTACATAAGTGGCCAACAGGATGGTGAAGAGAACAGCTATGTGCTCTAGGCACCGGCTGCAGACTGATGAGATGCTTACAGTAGGAGGGAGCAGAGGTGATGCCTGTTGGGAGAGCAGGTAACTCAAGGACTTTTTTAGATGAACTACACAATGAGAGCTAAGAGAGGGCAGGATGTTAACTTTCTAATAATACCACAATTATAAGAGTTAGTTTTTAACTTTTTAATGCTGCATCTATCCAACAACCTTTCTGGTGTTAAATGAATCCTGTGGGATTTCATAACCTTAGATTGAACAAATTACCAGTAGTTCACTCTGCATTTAGGCATGATGTCACCTTTACCATTGCAAAACTAAAGTCATATGAATTGTCTAAATTTGGGTGGGATAGCAAATTTAATACAGTCACATTCAGTGTATAAGTATTCAAAATAGGCCAAAATCAAAGACAAATGTATCTAACAATACACACTTTCTTACTCTGCATTACTCAGAGTAATATCTTAAATATGATGTCCTACCTGCTTGACAAAAGGCACTGTGGGAAAGATCATAATCATGCAAATCACTTTAATTCTTGCAGATGCTGGCAAAAAATAAATAAAAAGGCAAGAAAACCAATCAAAGGTGGGAAGAGCCAGATTAAGAAAAGTGATGAAAGCCCTCGGTGTTCTGCAGCTGAAAGGTGAGACCTCCCTGTTCCTCCTCTCCAGATTCAATCCACTTTCATCCTATGCTTAAAAACGCAACAAAACACACGCACAAAAAGAAAACACCAAGGCGTGTAAAATGCGCAGGAGGAAGAGAAAAGCCAGGGAGTTGATGGAAAGCAGAGGGAAAAGGGGTGTCTCTAAATCCTTTTTTCTTTTCTCCCTCCGCCCTTTTCTTGTAATAAACCGCACAGAAAAGGGGTTAGCACTTGACGCCGGATTTACAAGTCTCCCCTCTGTGTGACTCCAACACTCTGACAATGAGACGCTCTAATAAATAAATAAATAAAAGTGTGTGCAAGTCTTCTTTTAAGAATAGGCCTTGAGTTTGTGGAGCTCGGTTGAAGTGAACACTTTGTCTGAATCCAGAATTCCAGGAATTCCACGTCATTAATCTGAGCATTCTGAATTCCTTCCAGCTGTGAGCCACTGACGGGATGACACAGGCCAGGAGGGATCTGTTTCATTTCAGTTGTTCCAGATGGGTGTTGGAAGAAATTTATATTCTTGCGCTTGATAGTTTTTATAATTCCTGGATTAAATTTTAAGAGTTAAAAATAAGACAAAAGAAAAAAAATAATAATAATTAGCTAAAAAAATGCTTGCACGATGGTTGAAAATAGGCCTGTACATTATTTCAGTTAATATAAAGGTGGTTGGAAATAGATAAATAATGTTTTTCCATGAATTATTAATTTTACTGAGCCAACCAATCAATATTACATCTTCAGTGCAGTTTCAGATTAGAGTCATTGCACTAATCTAATAGCAACATGGTTGTCGAGTCAACGGTTCCTGAAGTTGGGGTTGGAAGTTGGAACCCCACTGTCGGTCATTAAGCTACAAGTGAGGGGTCTTGAGACTATTTCCAGAAATTCATATA